CCTGTACATGTACATATGTAGGAATATGTGTAAAATAAAGGTAAATAATAGTTAAACAAATCATTAAAAATAAAAAATAAAAAATACCAACACTTCATCGATCTAATATAAATAGGTAATTTTTCATAAAATTGTAAATTAGAGATTCCGATAAGTATCAGACGTGATTCTTTATCATTTGCCAAGCTAAACAAATTATACAAGATATCCAGATCATTTTCAATTATACAATCGATTTCATCTAAAATTACAACACTTTATAAAATCATATAGAACAGTTTGTTACTAATTTAGATTAGGGAAATATATATATATATATATATATATAAGATAGAAATTAGATAGAGATAACTCACCACATTCCATGATCAATTGACATCATTAAACAATCTTCTAATACTTTTTGAGCTATTTCATTATCTTCTATAATATCTATATCTTTACAAAGTATTTCACATAATTCAATAAAAAATTTTTTGTAACTGACGTATCTACAATTTATTATAGGAGTTACTATTGGTGGAAGAAGACCAAGCAAGTGTTCTTCATCATCTATAATTTGCTCTCTGATTTCTTCTAACAAGGCAGTTTTGCCAGTTCCTGGAATGCCAGTGATATATAAACTTCCAGGTTTTCCGTCAATGATATGACTCGTTAAAAATTCCGTAATTTCCCTACGTTCTTCTTCACGACCAATAAGTCGTTTTGGACTTGCAGTTAAGCGAAAAAGTGATTTAGCTTCTTGAAGAGCAGGTGTAGAGTAAGGTGAAGGAATGGAGTTGGAAAATAAAGAATCACGGATGGGGGTGGAAGGGGTAGAAGAAGTATCAAATACATTATAAAACCGTTGGTTTTTAGGTGTCCTATAATTTGAAGATGGGCAATTTTCTCTGGAATCTTCTGTGGTATACATTATGAATATTTTTTTTAAAAAATCAATTAATTATTGTTTGAAAATTTTTAAAGGGGAAAAATATTTTTGAACGTCTTGCACGTAAATAATAATATTCCGGACAACACGTAGGCTCTTAATCCCGTCAAAAAAGTTCGTGCGTCACTTGAATTTTGGCGATTATATCTATTTTTATTTTTATTTTTAACAAATTAATTGAATAAATTCTTTGTATACTACTAGTTTTCAATAATTTATTCATATTCATTATTTTTAAATGTTACCCGATCACCAATTACCGGTTCAAGAGAATGAATTTAAAGCTATTCGTTCATGTTAAAGAGAACATGAAATTATCCTTCCAATTGTAATATCTTAATTTAACAAGTATTAGATTAGAACAAAGAGAAGAGTTACCAGAAATAAGGGGACTAAATGATTGAACCTTTAGAACATATATAACGTTGTAATTTTCTTAACTTATTATCGTGTGTGAAATATTAAAATTTTGGGGTGGGTGTTTTGATATGAAATTCTGATTGGCTAATTTGAATTTCACGTAGTGAATTGTACTGTACGCACAACATCTTCACCCAACAATATATAATAAACATATCTTTAAGAACAAATACAAACTTGAAATAATAACGGGCTAGTCTTTCTGTCTAATCAATTTTTTTTTTTTGAGATATTGTTTAGCGAGGTATTGTGTACTAGGGAGTGGCTATACGGATTAGTAAAACCTATATGGTGATAGTTTAGAGAAGTAAAGCATATATATAAATTATTATTTGTGACTCGAACACGATCCCACAATATGCTAAAATAAAAATAAATTATTGCTACCGAACTTGCATTTAAAATTGATGAGGAAATACGTAATAATGCAATGTGTTGATTTTGATAGAGAAAGTAGAAAGGTTTATTTATTCTTCTGAATTAACTAATGCAAGGAATGAAAGGGCAGAATGTGACAGGTGTAAATCAACAATATACTCTGATAAGTTCTGTGAAGATGTATTGGTATACAATTACAAAGTCTTTTCACCACTTGAACATCTGGAATAACATGGTTGATAATTTTATTCAACTTGCATTTTAGTATTAGAATGGATGGATACCTTTTGGGCAATTTGAAGGAGTAGCAAAGTTAACTGAAGATGGACTTGGTTCAATTTATACTGCTACATGGACAAGAAGAAGAAAAATTGATTATGGTGAAAATAAAAAGGAGCTTAGTTATTTCAGAGAGCCAAATGTAGCATTAAAAAGTTTAAATGATTCAAGAAAAGGCCTTTTTGATAGGTAGGTAGTTGTCTTTAAACAAAAAAGCGAGAGTTAGTAATCACCCTATAAACATAACCATCTTACAAAACGTCACAACATATCAGGAAAACAGTAACATGTATTCTACGCATATTCTACACAATATAAGTATATGTTTTTAATATTTGCTTATTCTATGTTAAAACCCCTCAAATTGTGTAGAATGTATGCTACTAGCTTTCCTGGTAAGAGGGATTGCATGATCCAAAGCACACCCTTATTTCTTTGGGCTCGTCTGATGAAGACGAAGAAGAAATTAAGCTAATATTTTTCTTTTCTCTATTTTTAAGTTCAATCCAAATTTTTAATCGCTTCTGTTGTATTTTTTTTTTTTTATTTTTAATGATTTGTTTAACTATTATTTACCTTTATTTTACACATATTCCTACATATGTACATGTACAGGTGAACCGAAACAAGTTAGTTTTACACCATATAACGATTCTCAAATTATGGAAATAATTAAAGATCGTCTTTTAGCTGCAGCCTCTGCAGAAAAGGAAAATTCAATTATGATGTCAGAAAAACCAATATCATCATCTTTGATGCAAGATAAAGCAATTGAGCTTTGTGCAAAAAAAGTTGCTGCTTGTAATGGTGATTTAAGATTAGCGTTGAATATTTGCATGAAAGCGATTGAACTGGTAGAAGAAGAATTAGAAGAAAAGGAAACAGAAGAAAAAAAATTGGAAGAAAAGGAAAAGGACAGAAAGAAATCAATAAAAAAAACGGTTCTTTCAGATTCTGAAAATTCATTAGAACAACAACAAAAAATTTCAATGCCAGAAATTACAATTACACATATTAATCAAATTATTAATACAGACATCATCATTTCACCTATTACAAATAGATTGCGATCTTTGAATCATGCACAAAGTATGGCATTATTCGCAATAGTATGTTTAATCAAGAAAAAAGAGAAAAAAATTGATCTTACAAAGGTAAATAAAATAAAATAAAATAAAAACAACGAGATTAATCAATTATTTAATAAATAAATAAATAAATATTTTTTTAATTAGATACAAGAATTTCTACAAGTATTTTCAAAAAGGAATCCCACTTTGCCATTGGAAACTAATTTGTGTTCTTTAAAAGCAGCAACTGAAGTACTTAAAAATTCCAATGTAATCAAAATATCTAGAGCTAATAAGATCACTTTGAGTGTTAGAGCGAAGGATGTTGAAGATATCTTAAAAGACAAGAAGCCTTTATTGAAGAAAGCTTTGATGTTAATTAAAGATTGATCGATCTAATTATTTTTTTATTTGATTAATTGATAATCTTTGCTTGGTTGATTAACAAGTAAAACATTTGTTTGTGATATTTTTGCAAATATATCAAATTTTTAATAAAAAATTTTTAATCATTTATCACTTTCATATCTTGAGTATTATTAAAGTATTTGCAGCATAAAAAAAACTCTGAATTTTAGAATAATATTGAGGGTGTTTCACTATTACTAAGTTCCAAGGTCGATGATTTTTTTCTGCTTTTAGCAAAAAACCGCAGAAATCGCAAAAGTATGTATCAAAAGCAGAAATGCGAAGAATTATATCCAAAATTGGTAGTAGATAGATAATTAAAACATTTTGAAGCCTAAAAACTATTAATACATGTAATATATATATATATATAAGCAAGAAATGAAGTCAATTAGTCATTTTACATTTAACATTTTTTTTTTTTTATTGGATTTAAATTTCGTTTTTTGAGTAGAGTATTATTATTAATTTTATGACATATTAATACTTTTGGCATTTGATGACAATAGCAAAATAAGTGATCAAAATAATCTGTTCCGAGTACATATCATAATAATTAATTAAAAAAATGGCGTCATTAAAGATGCCGTACAAATCTTATAATCACCCTCAATTTTTTGTGAATATTGATTGATTTTTTTTTAAAAAAAGGTCATATTCTTTAACGTATATATAAATAAAATTGATCGAACTTTAATTATTCAAAAGAAGATTTTATTTATCTTATAAAATAGCATACATGTACGAAATAAAATAATACCATTATCCGTAACATCAAATTTATTTAATATTAATAAACGTAATTGGCAATAAAATCTCAAGCTTATTTTCTTCTTTGACTGTTTTAGAGCTCATTTTTGTGAATCTTGAAACAATTTTCATTATAAAATAACTTCCAATGGCTAAGAATAGCCCTTTAAAAAACCAAATGTTGAATAACAGTGTGAATTTCTGTTTATTCATACAAAATATCTGCAATAACGTAATAAATCAAGCTTTAAGTCTTTAAAGTCATACTCTGTATATATAACGAACTCATTTCTCCGATGCTAATGCTAATCAAATTAGGTGATCTTTTCTATTAAAGTCATTATAATCCGTGTTCATTCACTTTAAGATGTGGATCTTTTTTAGTGGTGTAGAAACTTTGAGTTGTTGATGTTATTATTCTATAAAGGGTAAATAAATAATCATTATTGGGATAGTTTTTTTGATTGATTGATCAAGCAATTGATTGATTGATTAAATATCAGATATTCTATTTATCTATGGATAATAATACCAATAATTAATAATAAAATCGTCCAAAGATTTTACAAAAATTTTCTTTCATTCAATACAGTTAAGGTCAAACATTATCATTATTGTCATTATACTATGGCGAAATTAATTGATGGAAAAGCTATTGCAAAGTGAATTTATTTTATTTTATTTTATTTTAATCTGGTATTTCAATTTTATCCAAAAACTCATTCCCGGATTTATTAATAAATGTGTATAAAAGATCTATCAGATGTGAAATAAGCGAAGAAATTAAAGAGTATCAAGCAAAATTTCCAACTTTTAGACCACATCTTGCCATAATTCAAATTGGTAAGAGAGAGGATTCTACTGTTTATATTCAACAGAAAAAACGTGCTGCCGAGGAAGTAGGCTTTTCTTATTTAATATATCCAATTATGTCATGTGATATATATAGTAAAAAAAAAATTTTACAAAAATTAGATTGGAATTGAATTTAGCATATTCAAGAAAGAGGAAGATATTTCACAAAATGAGGTAGATATTCAAGTAATGTTAATTTATAATAATAATATGACGTCATGTTGATTTGATTTATTTTATTTTATAGTTGCTATCGATAATTGATGATTTGAATGAAAATCCATCAATTCACGGATTATTGGTGCAATTGCCTTTACCAAATCATATTAATAAAGAAATTGTTACTGAAAAAATCAATCCTAAAAAAGATGTTGATGGGTAAATTAATGACGATAATACTTGGAAATGTATACATGCATGTATTTTTATTAATTTAATTGATTATAAAAATTAGTTTTCATGTTGATAATATTGGAAGTTTGGTTAAAAGAAATGGCGAAAGAACATTTTTACCTTGTACACCAAAAGGAATTCTTGAACTATTAAATCGGACTGGTAAAATAATATTGGAAATTTAAAAATTTAAATTTAATATAAGTTAATAAAATTTAAAATTAGGTGTTGAGATTGCTGGTAAATGTGCTGTCGTAGTTGGACGCAGTGAAATAGTGGTAAGATTAAGATTATTAATAATAATATAAATATAGTAATAAATATAATAATAAATATAATAATAATAATTAGGGATTTCCAATGTTTGCTTTGTTATCACATAAAGATGCAACGGTTACTTTGTGTCATTCTAAAACAAAGAACTTGGATGAAATTGTTTGTACCAATTCTTTCATAATTTTCTTTATAATGATCCTAATGATCATAACCTTCATCATATTAATAATAACCATTATTAATAACTAGGTTAAAACGGGTGATATTTTAGTTGTAGCAATTGGGCGTCCTGAATATATAAAGGGTGAATGGATAAAACCAGGTGCAATTGTAATTGACGTTGGAACAAATGCCATCGAAGGTTAATATTATAATAATAATAATAATAATATTTTCATTTTCATTTCAATGAAAACTACTACAAACACATACACATTTAAATTTAATTATATATATATATATATATATATATATATAGATCTTACAAAAAAATCAGGTGTAAGATGGGTAGGTGACGTACATTTCCCTAGTGCATCACAGGTAGCATCGTATATAACTCCTGTACCTGGCGGTGTTGGTCCAATGACGGTTGCAATGTTATTAAAGAATACAATGGAAAGTGCAAAGAGATTTTGGAAAAATGATAAAGAAAGAAAGATATCTATTTTAAATATTGATCCATTAACTCCTGTGCCATGTGATGCTGATATTGCGTTTAATCAACTTCCAAAACGAATAGCTATTTTGGCTCAAGAACTAGGCTTAACCAAAAACGAGGTTTGCTTAATTATTTCTTCAATAATAATAATATAAATAATGATATAAATATATAAATATTATATATGAATAACAGTACGAGTTATACGGAAATTATAAAGCAAAAATAAACTTATCAGTATTAGATCGATTAAAGTCTAAAAAAAACGGCAAATACGTCGTAGTAACTGGGTAAAATTATTTAATAATTAGTAAGCATCATTATTATGTAAACATTAATATTGATATTGATTAATTTACATATATAAAGTATAACGCCTACACCTTTAGGAGAAGGTAAATCAACAACCACAGTTGGTATAGCTCAAGCTTTAGGTGCACATCTAGGCAAAATAAGTTTTGCTTGTGTGAGGCAACCATCACAAGGACCAACATTTGGTATAAAAGGAGGTGCAGCTGGAGGTGGTTATTCACAAGTTATACCAATGGATGAATTTAATTTACATTTAACCGGTGATATACATGCTGTAACTGCTGCTAATAATTTACTAGGTAATAACTATTTATTATTATAAATATTCAATATTATTTTATTTATTTATTTAATATTATTGTATATTATTTCTAGCTGCTGCAATTGATGCTCGTATGTTTCATGAAAATACTCAAAGTGATAATGCATTATTCAATAGATTATGTCCAGTAAAAAAAGGATCTCGCACAATTTCTCCTATTTTAATTAGACGATTGAATAAACTTGGTATCGATAAAACAAATCCTAGTGAATTGACACCTGAAGAAATTAAAAAGTTTGTTAGATTAGATATTGATCCTGATTCAATTACATGGTAACTACATTTTATATATGCATATGTACACTTTGTATGTGTGTGAGTAAATACTAACAATTGTTAAATTTGTAATCATAGGAAAAGAGTTATTGATACAAACGATAGATTTTTACGTCGCATAACAATTGGACAACATCCTACAGAAAAAGGTTTTACCAGGGAAACTGGGTTTGATATTTCAGTTGCATCAGAATGTATGGCAGTTTTGGCTTTGAGTACATCTTTATCTGATATGAGTCTAAGATTGGGTAGAATGGTGGTTGCAACTTCTAAACAAGATAAATTATCGATAACTGTGGATGATTTGGGTTTAAGTGGTGCTCTAACCGTTTTAATGAAAGATGCTATCAAACCTAACTTGATGCAAACTTTGGAGGGTACCCCAGTTTTTGTACATGCTGGCCCATTTGCCAACATTGCTCACGGAAATAATTCTGTGCTAGCTGATATGATAGCTTTGAAACTGGCTGGTATTTATGACGATGACGATGATGATAAAAAAGGGTATGTTGTCACTGAAGCCGGATTTGGTGCCGATATTGGAATGGAAAAGTTTTTTGATATTAAGTGTAGAGTATCTGGTTTAATCCCTGATGCTGTGGCATTAGTTGCGACTGTAAGAGCTTTAAAGATGCATGGTGGTGGCCCACAGGTATTTTTTTTAAAATATAAAATTATTATTATTATTATTATTATTATTATTATTATTATTATTATTATTATTATTATTATTATTACTACTACTATTTGGTTTTCCAAGTAATATAATCATTAATATTTTTATCAGGTTTCGCCTGGTGTTCCGTTACCTGAAGAGTATTTGAAAGAAAATCTAGAATTATTGGAAAAAGGATGTTCCAATTTAGTAAAACATATTCAAAATGCAAAGAAATTTGGATTACCTGTTGTAGTAGCAATCAATCAATTTACGTATGAACAATATTAACAGTTAATTTTTTAAACATATACATATATTATAATATATTGTCTATCTAAAATATTATTTATCATTGTTGCAAACAATAATAACATTTTTATTATTTAATAACAGAACAGATACCCAAAACGAGCTTGATTTAATTCGTAAGATTGCAATAGAATCGGGTGCCAAAGATGCATTACCATCAACACATTGGTCTCATGGTGGTAAAGGTGCATTGGATTTAGCTAAAGCAATAGTTGAGGCTACCAATTCTTCATCATCCGATAAAAAATTTAAATTTTTATATGGATTGGATAAATCAATCGTCGAGAAGATTGAAATCATTGCAAAAGAAATGTATGGAGCCGATGGTATTGAATTAAGCGATTTGGCTAAACAAAAAATAGAAACTTATACAAAACAAGTAATATGTATTTTTATTACATTTTCACTAATATTTTATATAAATAAATAAATAAATAAATAATGGTATATATTTATTTCTTTAGGGATTTGCTAATTTATCAATTTGTATGGCAAAAACTCATTTATCATTATCCCATGATCCATTGCTCAAAGGTGTGCCAAAAGGATTTATAGTACCAATTCGTGATATAAGAGTTTCTGTTGGTGCAGGATTTTTGTATCCATTATTGGGCGAAGTACAAACAATGCCTGGTTTACCTACCGTAAATATATATTGTATATCAAGCGTTCTTTTATTATTGTCATAATTTATTAATATAAATTTTTTTTATGATTTTTAGAGACCTTGTTTCTTTGATGTAGATTTAGACCCTGATACTGGTAGAATTTCTGGTTTGTTTTAATAATATGAGGAAAGATAGACAGAAGTTATATGACGATAAATTTAATATTCGCCATGATATTTAATGATTTGTATTTTTATTTTTATTGTTAAAAAATAAAGAATTATCAACGCAGTTTAAATTTTCCTGTGAAGAACTTGTTTAAATGTAGAAAAAAGAGAACAATAATCATATGATGGATGATAGATTTGTCAACGATTTTTAATTTCTGATATTTTTCATGTGTTTTGTTGTTGACGGAGGTGATAAAAAATTGGATATTTCAGAAGGAACAATAATAATAATTAATCAAAAAAGCAGGAAGAAAGAAATTGGATGCACAATAATAATCAATAATTTTTGATTTCTCTCTTAGAAATAAGATAATTTACTTAAAATATTGATAATAATACATAATAATTAATTAATTAGGTTCAACAACAGTATGATAACTTTTTTCTTCTTTTGCTCTTTTCTTTAATTTATAAGATCTAATTACTATTACAAAATATGCCTTTAATTTGAAAAAAATATTAGGTAGATTTTAGTAAATTTGAAAAGATTTTTTTTTTTTCAAAAAAATAGCTTTAAAAGAAAAACTTACCGAAAGTAAAAATACAACTATGACACTTATTATACCTAGAACCAAACTAGTATTGAAAACTGTTTTACAATAGTCACTCCAATCCTTGCTTGTTCCAAAAGTGTTTACTGCTGATTCAAGACATGAATCAGTATAACTACTTTTGTTTACAAGATAATAAACAAAACTTGCTAAGTCAATTATTATATAAATTGCTGCAATTGCATATGATAAATAATAATATATATTTATATATTTATACATATCCTATAATAAAATCAATAAAAATAATTAATTAATAAAATAATAATAACAATCAAACTCAATATATTACATTACCATAAAGGTTATAACAATTAATCCAAGAGTTGATAAAATGATTGCAATTGAGCTAATAGCCATTAATGGTATGGTGAAATCTGATAATAAATATTATTATTAATTTAGAGCTAAATTCGTTGTATAATAAATATGATAAACGTATTTTTTACTTACAACTTTCGTAAGTGCCGTAAGATAATGCAAATGACGTCAAAAGATATATTCCATAAAGCTTATGTAAATAAATAAATAAACATATATTAAATTCAAGCAGATATATATAATATAAATATAATAATATTAGCATTAACATTATAGACATTATAGAACAATTTTCTCTTTCTAAATTCTTTAAAGAAACCATTTTACTTACAAGCCATATTATACTAATAAGTACTACTCCAGCTTTAAGTTTTATACAACAACAGCAGTATGTCGTTCTTGGACTTTTAATTTTCTCCATTTCTTTTTTTTTTTGAAATTATATTTAATAATTCAAAAAAACATTTCCAAGAATAATAACACTATTTATAATTATTATTTATTTATCTCCGAGTATAGAACTTTAATTCCAAATATGGAAACATAAACGGTGACGTCGCTGGCTTAGCTGGCTATTACTAGCATTTTTCCGCGATTGTCAATTTTAATTTCTAGATATGAATGTTTAATATCCCAACCTGCCAAAATATCAGTCGCTTGACATGTCGTATTAACGAAAAGTTATAGTTGATATTTAAAAAATCTTCAAGCCTCAATTTATATTTTATTTTTTTTTGCAACTATATATCCTCACCAATTTGACTGTAGACTCTTCATTCTCTTAAATAGAAAAATTTCGAGGGCGGTTATTAATAAAATGGAAAATAATCTCAAAGCCAAAGTTTATCGTCTGATTCTATTTTTGATAATGTTATTGACGATTTCTATCACAATTTCCCTGCATTTATATTGGTCTTTAATAACATACAACCCCATAAAGTAATACCAATCCATATGAAGGCCTAAATATTCTACATAATCTTAGCCTTGAAGTGAAAATGTAGCTTTATTTTGAATAGCGGCATCTCTAAATAGAGAGCTTCTTCCAACATAAGTTTCATTAGAAAGCTTTGGTAATATAGCTTTACTTATTTTAAATCCTATTTTGTTACACAAATTGTAGATTTGCTTTTACATATATACCAGACCTCCATAAATGCACCTTCCTTTGACCCGAAGCGCAATTTCATTGGTTGCGCGTGATACACAATATTTAATTGATGGTCAGTCATAAATTTTACTAATTGACAACTTTGTATATAAAAATGGGGATGCAAATATGAGTGAAATTTTCGTTTGTGTGATTTTCCATTTACTATTACTAAGATTTCTTTGAGCTCTATTCGAATCATTGGTTAGAATTATAATTAAGATTGAACAAGAAATTGTGTTATGGATAGAAGCATTGTTTTAATTGACTGCTTGTTTTTTGCGATGTTGATTAAATCTAGATATCCATGATTTAATTAGTTGGAGAGAAGGATATTATCAGCTTTTATTTCATTATTTTCAGCATGCATTTGATGATTTTTGAACATATCATCCGAAACTTTAAAAAAGCAAACCTACATCACGAGTATACAAGATATTTCCTCCGCTTTTCAATTAAAACACATGGAAATTGCTCGAGTTAAAGGATAGCTGATTGAATAACTAATTAGTTCACATTTAAAGATAACGACTAACGAATAAATATAATAAACACATTTTAAATTATTATTTCTTATTTACGAATTGTTGCATAGTTGAAGAGGCAAAGCATTGTGAATTGTTTAGTAACCCTTTCTAATGATTAATGATTTGGCCAACCTTTAATTATTAGTTAGGAGCCCTTTTTAATTTTACTATATTGCTTGTAAGGAGGGACATCTCAAGTAATATAGTTGTGTGTATATTCTTAATTTTCATTTCTATTTTGCGTACCTGAACTGGTAAGACAGAGAGTAACAGCTAAGAGGGTACCCGCCGAGAAGCGCTACTAAGATATAGAAAACAAAGAAAAGGTTAAGGATTATAGCTATATTAGGCCGAGAGCCTGGGACAATATAGTGAGGAAATCAGTGATTTTATTTTTTATTCTTTTAATATAATTTATTGGGCACCCCGAGCTTACACGCTCACAATATAAATATTTATTATTTATTATTTATTTAAAAGAAAAAAAAATTAAAATATAACAATCAACATTATTATCATCACCATCATCAATGACAACATCAACAACAACATCATCCATCGTCAAGAAGAAAATCAATTATATCATCTGTCATCACCAACAACATTGAAATCTCCAACTTTTCCTTCTATGTTTTGATGACTATTAAAATTCATTAACATCATCATCATCATCCATATCTCCTTCTGCGATTTCTTTGGCAAGTTCTCTTTCTCGTTCGCGAAGAGCTTCAGCAGAATCCAATTCTTTACGGTGTGCATTGAGTGGAAACCTCATTGCCTATAGTAACAATTAATATTAATATTTTCCTTTTTCATTTCAATATATGGGCATGAGAGAATAGAATACCTTGACTGATTCATTATGAAGATTTAAGCAAAAACTAGTACGTTGATGAAAAGCAATTTGTGGTTCATTGGTTGAATAAATATCTGCATTTTCCTAATTTTTATAAATAAACTTTATATAAATAATTTTAATCAATTATAAATAATCAACAAATATATATAAATATCACACATACCTTTGATTTCATAAATCCTTTTTCATGATCTAAAGTAGCATCAATAACACCATCACGTATAGCCTAAACACTCCAAAAAAAATCAAGATTTCATTTATTGTAAATAAAATGAAGTTATACTCCAAAAAAAAAATTTTTATCCTACTTTTGCAACAATATATTCAGCATCTTCCTCGCTGTCTAGGTGTAATTTGAAACAAATATCACGTAAAGATATTCGCGAGTATGATAAACTAATCATTCTAATTCCTGTTTTTATTACATTATGTCGAAGCCTGGTCATCACCATTAAATAATAACATTTCAAATTAGAAAAATTGTGTATATGTATGTATGTTAGCATATAGATCAAACTCAAGTGATAAAAATATTTTTACAAACCTTAAAATCAATGTATAATTTTTGTCTTTACGAAAAACTTCAGCATATTTTGCCAAGGCCTCTTGGAATTTTGATAAATCACCAATTCTTACAGCTGTGATCGATATAATAATTATAAACAATTAGTATTACTAAATATTATATTTTCTTAGAAAAATATATATGTATAAGCATTACCTTGAACAAGCTTTAAATATGGAACCAATGGTTTCTTTAATACAGGTTGTCTAAACAAAGCTCGTTCAGGAATCTCTCCCATAAGTAGTTGTACAATAATTGATAATTTATAAACCTGGATTAAAGGAAAAAAATCTTCTATTTTAAAAAAATAAATCGATAAAATAAAATGTATAAATATGTAATATGTAGATTACTGTTTGTTGAAAGCCAGCTGTAGTATAATTTTGAGGTGCTTTACGAATTGCTTGTAACAGATGAGTGTGTGAAGCTGTATAATCAAGCTGAATGGCCTTGATAAGTCCTTTTGTTTTATTAAAAAAAAAGAAATTAGGCATACAACATAAATATTACTTTATTAGAAAATAGTATTATTATTTTTTTTTTGTCATTCAATAGCCAACCTAGGTAATACATATATCGAGCCTGTTGATTGTTAGCAGATGATTCCGGAAAAGTGGTCTTAGTGACAAGTTTGTCAGCTTGATCATAAAGATTATAGTGGAAATAATTTCTCAATAAAAGATTGAGTAATGTGGCCTATAAGTAGTAATAAATTAGTTCAAGTTATTAATCGATTCAAATAAATATTCGACAATAATAATGTTAGAAGCATCACACCTGAGTATCGTCATCATGTCGCAATGTAGCTGTTCTATGAGCTGCTAACAAAACTCTAAATAACAATTAAAAGAATATATTTTATGATTAGTTCAAAAAAAATTTAATAATAATTGCAAAATAAATATATGTACGGTCTTATTTCTCCCAAATTTCCTGTTAACTCATAAAATCTTGCATAATAAAAATAAATACGAGCAGACAATTGATCCAAAGTACGTCGATTTAATTTTTGGATCTTTAGGCGTGTTTCATTGGACAATTGAATACCCTAATAATAAATGGTGACAGCAATTCAATATTAAAAAAAAAAAGAATAATATGTTTGGGAGATATGACGAATGCTAAATTCACCTTTTCGAAATCTTTTTTATCCAATAAATATATCATCACCATCAAATGGAGATAAAGATCAATTTCAGGTATAATGTGTCCTTGACCACTACCATTAACTCCATCATCCATGTCAACTTCCATAATTCCAGACTCCTAACAAAATAAAATAAATACATTATCAGAATGTTTCAAATATAATAATAAAATAATGTTGAGAAAATCAAGCAAATAACAATAAACCTTTCCCAAATAACTTAAAAGTCTACTTTTATCAGCAGAATCTATTTTTTTTTTCAAAGTTCAAATTATTTTATTTTTTTGACTAATCTGTATGTGTGATACTGTTTAATATTGATCTAAGATTGTCAACTAACCTTTTGGGTAAGCATCTTTAATGATTTGTGTTAAATTATCTGCATTCAAACGTTTACGAATCGATGCAGTGGTTCTAAGAACACGTGTAGTATAACGTGATTCAATAGTTGATACCGCTCTTTCAAGAAGTAGAAAATTTTGTTTGTGATCTATATTAATATAACAAAAAAAATTGCATTATCAATTATTAGTATCATTGATTTAGGTCTGCGTTTTTAAATTGCATAATAATTCATACCAGATAACACCAAAGCATCACCCTCTAGAGCTTTTTTATCAACTTGCTAATATCAATAGTAATATTAAAGATAATTATTCCAATTAATTTCATTGATATCATTCTCGCCTATCAAAAAAGAATTTTTCATTCTAACCTTCATTTTATTTTATGTAAGGTTTTTAAAAAGAGATCTGTAAATTCTATAATAATAAATTACTGTGTCGTCTGCGGATCATTCATTACGTATTCAAAATATTTGTAGATCATTTATTCTTTCCTTTTCATAATAATTTAGCACATAAGTTCCTAGGTTAAAATGGGAAATGAGAAAAGGTATAACGTACCACGTAGGGTTCAGGCCAACCTCTTGCATCTGAACAAATAACTGGTATCCAACGTAACATTGCCTCTCCACAACAAGACCAAAAATGAGGGATTGTGTGTCCCGATTAAAAATGTTGGCAAAATTTTATCAAACATAATTGACGACAACAATTCGTTATAAAATATTTGGCAATTCCTTCTTCGGAAAGACTTTTTCTGATCCAGGACAACAAATTACTTTGTTACGAAATAGACTTAGCTCACAGTCTGTTAATCATTTTATTTTTTTGAAACGAAACAAAAAATTGGTTAATAATTTAAAGAATAATCCAAAATTCTATATTGTGATAAATAAGACACATTTATCAAAGTGTCACCCAATCGTGTTTCAGACATGTGACCTAATCTCTCGTTTTATTAAATATTTTCATATTTACTTATTTTATATTTTATATTCGTATCTTTATTATTATTATTCACATTTATTATTTCACATATTTCACATTTAATTTTTATTATTATCTATTATTTGGACCATAAAGTGCGCCCACATATTCGCTGAAGCTTTCTACATACGAGAAAGAGGCAAACAGGATAATTGTTAAATAAGTTTGTAAAGTAATTGACGAGCATTGAATATGAAACTTGCAATCAATCGACGGGTGTAGCTAAGAAGTTAATTCAAATCGGCCATAAAGGTAAAATAATCGAGATTGACCAAGGCTATTCTCAGTATTAATATAAAAGTTGATTGCAAACCGATAATCGAAATTGTGACTATTTAATTGAACGCGGTTGTTCAAGTTCGTATCTCAAACATGACATTCAATTTCTGTAAAATCCATAAAAGAAGTAATTCTGAAGGTAGAAAAACATTTGTATACAAAGTTACAAGGGAATTTACTCAATAAACAGGGAAATTATTACAAGCTTTTAATTAAATAAATCTCCATTGTATTATTTTTAAAAAAAAGGAAATATAAAAAGTACAAGATTTTTTTTTTAGAAGACATTGTTATTGTTTATGATCTTAACAAGCAACCTGGTTTTTGTATTGCTTTGTGAGTTAATATTATTAATAATAAATTGGTTTATTTTTATTATATTGTAAAATGAAAGAGATCAATAGAGTTAGTGAAGAAAGAGAATTAAATAATATTAGTCTCTTTCTATGTCAAGTATTCAAGATTTACCGGTATGGTAATTAGATATATAAAAACTTTTGTTTTTAATATTTAATAAATATATATTTGTATATTTAGATTTCTATTTTGAATAAAAATGCTAAATGGAAATAAAATTTGAAAAATAATTTGACAGCTAAACCAATAGTTAGTAACAAAAGAAATCGTTCAAATATATTAGACGAAGATGATGGAGAAAGAAAGAAAAGGACAAGATCAATTAACTTATGATCTTGTTGTATAAAGTAATAAATATTCTCTTTGGTTTACAATTAACACGAATAAAAGTCTTACCTCTTAAACCTGGAAATGTGATTGAAGAAGGATCTGGTAAAAATATAGATATATTATTCATTCTTATTTTTACTTTACTTCACTTCTTTTTTTAACAAATCATTAATAACGATCTTTTATTAAAATAGTTCCATCTTGGTCACAAGATGATTGATGATATGAAATTTAGTAGTCACACCAATCAAACTGGATCATTAGACGCTAAAAAAAACTCGAAAAAGAAAAACATCTTTAAAAAAACGAAATGCAGATCTTTTTCTTGTATCAAGTTACGTGTAACAAATAATAATGTATAAAATATTGCACAATTAATTAACTAATAATGAATACACTAATCTATTTATTATTATTTAAAATTTTTTAAAGAAAATTATGATTTATAATTTGTATATATTTGATCGACATTGCACTTGTATTTATTATCATGATTGGCATAAACACCGTAAATCTGGAATGGTAGTTGTAGGGAGTGGCAATGATAGTAATGTGGTAAGTACAACAACCAGTACAACTAGTAATAATGAGGGATCGGGAGGATCGAATTCATCACCTGCGCATCATGTAAGCAATTTTTCCACTACATCACAATTAACAAGCACAAGTATGATATCTGAGAATAGGTTGATTAATCTTGATGAAGAAGCCAAATTGGTTTATGGTGTTATTTACTCTTTAAGAAACTTTGTCAAGAAACTTACTGGAAGGTGAGTTGGGAAACAACAGTAAATAATAATATAGTTACAATTATATTTTACAATTATAATAATAATCATCTTATTGTTTATATTCTAATATTCACATATTTTTATTGTTATTAGTCAAGATGGATTTTTATCTTACCGTACATCAACTTATAAATTACATTATTATGAAACTCCAACAGGTTTAAAGTTTGTGATAAACACAGATACAAACGCTGACTCACTTAGACCAGTATTAAGACAAATTTACGTAAATTTTTATGTAGAATATGTTGTCAAAAATCCTTTATCTCCAGCTGAACATCCACATGGTGAAGGTGTTAATAATGAATATTTTAAGGCTGCTGTTGATAAATTTATAAAAAGTTTGGCTGTATTTGAATCATAATTTTACTTTGATTTATTTTTCATAATCTGCATTTAGAAATTAGATTCAAATTTTATTTTCTAATTTTTAATAAAAAATTTTTTTTTGTGAAGGGCTGGCAGCTGTCAAATCATAACAGGCATTTATATATTAAGTGACACATTAGTGAGTTTTATATAAACACAAACAGACAAAATGAACATAACACCATAAAGAATTGCATTTTATAGTGACTCTCAATAGACAGTATTTTATTTTCATTTCTTGCTCCATATTCCTCCATATAATATAGGTAAAGCAACCAATTCAAAGATATAAATTTATGCTAAGCTTAAAATCTCATTTCATTTTAATTGTTGTGGTTTATTTGATTTGTTTTCTTCATTTTTATTTAGCCTAGTTGACATTTGAGCTTTTTGAATAGTTTCTTCTTTTTTAATTATTCCTGTTTTTCTAGTTCTTCAATTTTGTTTTGTAACTTCTGAATAGCTCCTTTGCTTTTGGGGTTGTTTTCTTTTTCTTCCTCCAAGGATGCCAATTGATTTTTCAGGTTAACAATATCATTCTTTAATTGCAGATTGCTTGGTTGCTCACCCCTTTCATAACCATCCTCTAAATCTTTTATTTTCAGTTCTTAGGTGCTGATATTGCTGACCTTCATTAGATATTTGTTGCCTGTAATTGGGTTATGTCTTTGTTTCTTTCCTTTAACTGTATACTAAAGCCTCATTACCTTGTTTTCAACTTTCATTTTTCTGTTGGATATCTTTGCTTTTTAGTTGATTGATTTCTTTTTGAATTTCCTTTTTCTTTGCTCTTCATTTAGCCTTCTATACATGAAACCAAAATCATTGCAGATTTGGTCAAAGTAGGGTTGAAATAAGGTCAACATTGATTTTTAAAAAGAATCATTGAATTATCTGAAATAATTATACATGAAACCAAAATTAAATCCCAAAATCAAAATATTTTGACTTGAAACAATTACATAGTAAAAAGTTGATCAATTGTTGAATTAACTCGCCCTTTTATCTTTTTGTTGATTATTACCTTAGTTTGAGCCAAGAACCCCATAAGGATTGGAATCGACTATTTTAGTCAACTAAGGTAATTATAATCAGTCGATTAAATTTTTTTTGATCAACTAAAACAGTCGACTAAATAACAAGTTGGAGATGCAATACAAAATATTATAAATGATCAAAGAGATAATGTTGATAATTTAATTGACAGACTCAGCATTAACAGAAGAGGAATTATACCAATTAATGCTGGGATTAATGAAATGTCAACAGAAGAGGAAATTCTTGGTTCTTTTGAGCAAATTTAAGAGGAAGATGTTATTCCTAATGTTTCGATAAATGAAGTTGCGAAAGCTTTTTAAATTGCTTTTAATTTTCCAAATAAAATAATATTATAATGAATTAAAAGTTTTAAAGGCTTTAAAATAATTGAAAAAGAAAATAGAATCAAAAGAGTCATATAGTATTCAAAATTCGATACAAAAAAATATTACTAGTTTTTTCAGACATTTTTAATTTTATATATATATAACGATACCCTTCAAAGAGTATTCGGATGAGGTTTTTTAATAATTACGCAAATGCCACATAACAAAAGTCAATATATGACTTAGGTTTTGACGACTCTGCATATAATCTTGATTTCTATTCTTAAATAAAAAAATTAACAATATTCTGTTGGCCACCCATTATTAGAAATACATGCTTCAATTCTTCTCGACATACTTTCAATGAGGTTATGTGACATACCCTGAAGAATTTGAGACCATTCTTATTTCATTGCAGCCTCCAACTCTATTGCGATTTTGGATGATTTTCTCGTTTTTTCAATCTCTTTACTAATTCACTCCATAAATGCTCAATTGGATTAAGATCAGAATATTGGGATGGCCAATTAGACCATACTATATGTTATTCCATTCTATCTCAAGCGTGATGATCTGGACCATGCTTTCCCTTTATAAAGTTTGCCGTCGACAGAGATGACTGATTTGGACTTGGTTGCTTTGGAAATACCAGCGTTTCTAGCGATATCAGTGTTGTATTAACACGTGATTCCTGCAATTAGAGTCGGAGATCAGGTGATTGTATGTTTTCCACTCCAAGGTGAAATACGAGGTGGAGTTTTTGTTAACTTCCGAAGACTTACACAGAACCCAGTAATTCCCAAAAGGTGAACATGTGACCTAGTCTCTCGTATTTTCTTATTTGAATTTTTATTTATATTCATATTTTATTATTATTATTTAAATTAAAATTGGTGGAACAAAAATATTTAATTTAAGAGAAAAGATTAAGGATTTTGTTGATGATAATTTTATGTGCGAACCAATGAATGATTCTTATGTAATTTGCTTCGGGTCCTAATAAATTCATTTGTTTTGGATTCCAATGGTTTAAATATTGATTTTAGAGGACCTTTGGATAAAAGGAAAAAGGAGGTAGTGCAGCACATAGTTTTGTATGGAGATATTTCGAAGAAATATAAATATATTCATTTACTAGAAGGAATTAAAAAATATCACGCATTTTTATGAATAATCGACTATTTAATCAGCTAAAAAAAATTTGATCAACTAATAGACGGCTAAGGATTTCTTTGACCGATTCCAATCTCTACTACTACAAAGTTGCAATAACATATTTACCATTACTATGTTACCCCCCAAAATTGGACGCAAATTTAAAATGAACGAATTGGAAGATTTATTTATTATCATCCGTAACAATAATAATAATTTTTTTTTTTTATAGTTACGTAACAATTCTTTAATCATTAAAAACAACAATAATTTTTTACAAATTTTTTAATCATTAATATTAATACTTATCGTATCACGATTTAACTGATACTAATTAAAAATCTTGATTTAACGGATCGAGGTTTAATAATATAATAAATTCTTCTCGATATAACGCATTTCTTGAAGAAATTGTCTATTTCACAACTTTAAATTCACGTGGCCGCGAAAAGTTCAGCGACCAAGTGACTTGCGCTATATATAATACATTTTTATTCCACCTGTAAATTTGCATCTCTGATCATATCTTATATCCAATATTTATTTCTCATAAAAAAATCTCAATCATTCTTCACATCATCTCCTGCAATTTAATAACTTTTTATTAGCTAAACAACATCAATATAAAATGTAAAATAACCAATCAATTAATTACATTCATAGATGTTGGCTGAAATTACTCCTCTTAGTAAATGACTGTTGTCGAATCCGAAATTCCAAAATAGCTTTCCTAATTAATTCCAAAGTTATTTGAACTCAATGAATCAAATAGTATAGTTATTCATATAAAGAGTATTAATAATTACAGCAAATAACTTTCATCCAATCAAGCAATACAAATTCCCTCTCTAATTTAAATGATTATTATTTAAATTTAGTAAATAACTTTATTAGCATTGATCCTGACTTTCTGTTTCCTATGTAATATATAGGATCAGCCAGCTTTGAAACCGTATATTACCATATTTAGAGGGATTTACATGATTTATCCATTTTGGCCCTGGTATTCCGATCAAATTCTAAAAATGCAAGTTAATCCTGTTATCAATAGTATTAATAATAACAATAACACCAACAATTTGCTCTCTTTTCAACAAACAACGTCGCCAATATTACATGAAAATGACATTAGACCACCAGGAGTAGTCGCAACAACTACCACGCCAACTAACGGTCTGTCTTATTTTAGTTGGCGTTTGTTTGTTCACTTTTGATTCATTTTTTTAATCTATCTAATTATCTGATCAAATTGCTTATTTAGAACAAGAATGGTTAAAATTATGGATTAAAGCACGAAATATCAAATTTTATAATAGTAATAATGATAATGATAATGACAATGATAAATCATTATCGTCATCATTAACCAGATCTTTACCAAATATCAATGATTCTAGATTAAAAATACTTAAAACAAATGAATTATTACAACAAACTAAAAATCAATTGGAAGAATTGAAAAAAAGACTTCAAAAAAAAAATGATGACGGTGATGTTGTTGCTGTTAGTGAAGGCGAATGGAAGATAAAAGTAGAAGAATTTGAAAATAAAAAGGTTTGTTTTAGATTTTTTTGATTTTTTTTTTTGAAAAAAAGAAAAATAATAATTATTTTATATATTTTTTAGAAAGCTTTGGAGAAAAATTTATCAGAAATTTTTGATAAGAAATTTAAAGAAGATCTTAAAACAAAATTAAACAAGATAAGAAGACACCAGGTATTGAATCAAATAATAATTAATTAACAATTAATCAATTAATTAATTTGCCTTATTTGCTTTTGATTTATTTGATTATTGTTGTTGTCTAAAGAAATGGAATAAAAAACATATTAAAAAATTACAAATGATACGAGATGAACGACAAAGTAGACGAGAAACATTACATAAAACCATAGACGAATGGAGAACAGAATGGATAGCGAAAGATTTAGCACTTAAACGAGTAATTAACTAATTAATTAATCTCATTCATATCCACAATTTATTATTATTATTTATTTATTCAATTATTCAGTTTTTTTAAAATATAATAATTCAACTTTCTATATATATATGTGTGTATCAGGAACAAGCAAGAAAAAAAGAAGCTGAAAAAAGATTTCAAATAGCTGAATTTAATAAAAACAAACATAAAGAACTTAAAAAAATATTAGAAAAGGTTAGACAATTAAGAGATTTACGTCGTGAACGATTTAAACGAGAAGGTCATTTCTTTCCGGAAGAGGATGACGAATTTTTCAATAGAATAGCATCACTGAATGATGTAATGAATGAAGAGGAAGCTAGACTGGATCAGGAGAGAGATGCGGCTGCTGAACATAAACGAAATGAAACTATCGATGCCGGGATGAAAGAACGTGAACGTGAAAGAGATCCTGTCTATGAGTACTGGCATCAAGCTGAAATTGATCTTGATAGTTTGGTTTCTATAAGGTACATATATACATATACATTTACAATTATATATACTCAATTACAAACATATATTTTTAGGTATAAGTGGGATGCTTATATAGTACCTCCAGGTACAAATGGAGCATCGTGTATACCTCCAACATTTGTACAACCATCACCACCTGCGAATTATATATGGGCATCTTGTCTTACACATGGAATTGATCATCACGAATCAAACCAACAACATGACAGATAATATAATTCTATTATTAATTATTTATTATCATTATATTAATATTAACCCACCTACCCCCACCCATTAAATGTTAAAATATACAATTTATAAATAAAAAAATCATCTTCAATCTATTCTATGGTCCAGCAATACCTTCTTCTACTATCTCATCACCTTCTATACTTAAATCAATATCAGCTCTATCAATATTTTTGGATTGGATTTTTTCTAATTGTTCTTTAATACCAGTATATTAGAAATTAGGATCTATATAATCAACCACATCGTTATCATCCATGGTTTCATAAGGAATCGTTGTCGTAGTTTCCTCGGCAACTTCATTACTAACTACATCATTTGCTATCGCATCATCTAAAATTGTTACTAGTCCTGGTTCTGGTTCTGTTACCGGCGTTACATCATTTATCGTTTCAACTGTAACAATATTTTCTTCGGCTTCTGTTATAGTATCTTCTATTGTTTGATCTACTTTAAAATCATTATCATCTTCATCCATAATTTTGAAGCTTTCTGTTGTTAAAGTTTCTACCGCTGCTAAAACTTTCGAGGTTGAAGACGTCATCGTTGCTATTGATGGTGATGCTGTTGGTGCATGAGCCAATTTTTTGGCTTTTAAATCATCATCATTTTTTATTGGATGTCCAAAAGGAACACCTTTCGATAATTTTATTCTTTTTTTCATCAACTTCTCGATTAATGGTTCATATTTTCCTCCAATACCATATAATTTTTCTAAATCTTTTAATTTATGTATTTCATCAACTTCTCCAATTGTAATGGCATCAGCAAATGTTTGTCCATTGGTGTTTCCATCATCAAATTGTCTTTCAGGATTAACCATATTCTCCCAACTTGCATCATCATCAGGTCTTATATATAAAAATTCATAACCTGTTCCATTAATAAGACTCTCACATCCATTAAAACTTGGAACATATTTATTTAAACACCTTTCTAATGCTAAATCTTCTGTCATAGTTTCGTCATCTTCTAAACAAAATGGCAAATGTGGTCCAATTATTGCTAAAAGATATTTATTCATTATGTAACCTATAAAAATTGCGCGAGATAAATAAAAAATCTTTTCTCATCGTTTATAATAAAAAATAATTTTATTATTACGTCATTTACCTGGACCTTTCCAACAAAATTTTTTGTTTGTATCAAAATCAACATCAGGATGTCCAATCAACCTAGGTTTAAATGGAGGCTTGTAATTTGAGAGTAGATTAAGAAGACGTGGCAATTGAACAAAAGTTTTATCTGAAATTTTTAGGAAATAATCGTAATGATCAAGATGATATTCATAAAGGAAGTGTAACGCCTTAAACAAAATAATAAATAAAGAATATATATTAGTATTATTTCTTCCAAAAACAAAAAAAAAAAAACAAGATAAATTTACCTTTGTAAGATTTTTAAATTCCTTTTGCATTTCATTTAATTCGTATGGTTCTTTAAATACCATTGTTTGTTCAAGTAGTTCTCTCATCATTTCTTTTAAATCATCTTTTTTTTGTGGAATTTTATTTTCTTCGGTTGAATTTTCTAAATCATTTAATCCAGATTTTTTGTCATTGCTTGTTTTATCAATGACATTTTCTTTGCTTGTAAAGACTGGTACATTGGGCCACCCAAAATTTTTTAAAGTATCTTCGGAAGTCGCAAACCATAAATCTACACTTAATGATTTATTTTTTTTGGCTATTTTTCCCCAAGTTTCCACAATTGCTTTATTATATGTTCCAATTGATGAGTTGGACGATGGTAATATTAAGATTGCAAGTTTTTTTGGATAATTGTCTGTAAAAGTTGAAAATTGAGGCGGTGGTCGTTGTGGTTGTGCTTGTTGCGGTATTGAATGACTATTAAAAATATCATTATTATTTAAAAAGTCAATATTCTGCTCATTGATTAATTAAAGTTTTAAAATTTACAATAACAATAATTTATAATTTATAATATTCACCCTGTTAATGCGGGTGTTTCCTCAAAAGGATCTATTTCACGTGCAAATTTTATCTTTACCATCACTATTATGAGTATAATCAAACCAAAAGTTATATAACTCCATTTGCGTCTAATGAAATGAGGAAATGTTCTTGAAGGCTGTCTAAAGTTATTATATGAAGAGGAAATCTGTAGTGGATAATAATGAGCGTAAGCTGTAGATCTTAATGAGTTGATTGAGGATTGAATTCGATTTAATAAATTGTTAGGAGGAATCTTTATTTTTTCATCCATTATTATATAATTTTTTTATTCTCCTTTTGGATAAAATTTCATTTATGTTAAAAATAGAGTGAAGGAAGTTAGTTTAATTTATTATGGAATAAATTAATATTAATAATAATAATTGATAACTTAATACGGGTCAATAAAAAATAATATAAATAAAGTCGTTTTGACCAATAGTAAATTAGCTAGTGAATTTTTTGAATCTTTGAACTCCCTGCAATTTTTAACCATATTAAGTGTGATTTGAACATAAAATTTATACATAAATACATGATGCATTTTTGAATGAATTGAGTGAAACCAAATTTTTAAACTTTGTCAGTAACGAGACAATTAACCACCCTAGGCATTAATATTATAAATATTTTTTTCTCGAAAATTGCAATTCCATTTTCATTTTGTAGTATACGATTGCAATTTTAAATTTTTTTAAATTACTTTCAATTTAATAATGTCTTCTTCACGCTGGGGTGGTACTCCTCAATGTCCTCGCTGTCAAAAGGCAGTATATATGGCTGAACAAGTAAATTAAATAAGAAATGCTTATAAGTAAAATTATTGATTTCGAATTCTTTAAAAATATTTAACAAATTGATATTTTTAAAAAAGGCCATTGGACCCAATGGAGCATGGCACAAAACTTGTTTAGCTTGCATTGTAAGGATTCATTCGTATCCAACCTAATTTAATGTGTTCAATTTCGATAATATTAATTTTTATTATTATTACAAAAGGATTGCAATAAACGATTGGATTCATTCACACTCGCAGAACATGAAGGAGAGGTAAATCATTAAATTTTTTATATTATTGAACTTGATTGATTGATTACTCCATAAAAATTATTAATTTTTTCTTTCAAAAGGCATATTGCAAAGTTTGTCATGGACGTCGTTATGGACCTAAAGGTTTATCATCATTATTATTTGAAATAATTAATAAAAAATAATATTGAATAATTTACAAAATAATAATTTTGAAAATTATTTTATTTTATTTCTAAAGGTTATGGTTTTGCATCAGGCTCATCTTTCTTGAGTACAGACAAACCATTAAAATCAAGATCAATGACCACACTAGTTAATGATCAGACATCAAACCTCGATAGATTATCGTCATCCCCGCCTACTTCTCCATCAAGTCCATCACTTGGATTTTTTAGTTCTAGGCCTCAATCACCTAAAGGACCTAGACGTGCTTTCACTCTACCAAATAATAATGATATATGTCCACGTTGTTCAAAAGCTGTTTATGCCGCAGAAGCTGTAAATATTAAGAATTTAAAATTTTAATTTATATTAGATATATAAAAGTAAAATTAATGTTTATTTTATTTTATTTTATATTTTTAGGTGATGGGAGCTGGTATAAAATATCATAAATTGTGTTTACGTTGTATCAAATGTAGTAAACTCTTAGATTCTACAAATATAACTGATAGAGAAGGGAAGATTTATTGTAGAGCTTGTTATTCAAGAGATTTTGGACCAAAGGTTTATATATATATATATATTTAAAGGAGAAACAAAAGAACAAAAATATTTATTGTTATTATTATTTTGATTTTTAGGGTTATGGTTATGGTGGAGGTGCTGCATTTCTAACTACCGAAGGAACAGCAAGATAAATTATACTTGATTTTTCGGGGGGAGGTAAATTTATTACATATTATATATTTTTATTACATATTATATATTTTATTACATATTACATATTTTTACTATATTATCATCATTTTATTATCATTTTTTTATTATTATATAATATTAGAAAAATTTGTACTTTATAAATAATTTTTTGCAAATCTTCTATATACAGTATATATTATTTTTTATTTTATGTAATTAACAAACAATTTAGTTTTGAAAGAAGGAACATTGTATTTAATTAATGTTTTAATAATAATATTTTTGGATATAAAAATATTTATAATTAGTGTATATATATATATGTGTGCGTTTGAAAAGCCTTCTTTAATTAGATTATGAATTTTTTTTTGGTTTAATGAATTTCCCTTATCATTAATAAAGAATTTATTTATTTTAATATAAAAAATGATACATTATTAAAAAAAAACTTCTTGAAACATCAAATTATCATTATCATCGACGACATTATTATATTGAAACTATCAACCTTTAGTTATATATTAATTGATTTCACATTGAATCAGCAGCTTCAAGTTCCCTATTTATAAATAAATAAAATCAATCATTAGATTTAATAATCATAATTTCCCTTTTTCAATCGAGAATAATATTAATTAGACATATAAACAAACAATAAAACTTAACTTACTTTTCATCATCGTCTTGAACAATATGTTCTTCACTTTTAGAAGGACTTTGTTTAGGACTATTATGAGATTCATCATTCCCATTTCTATCACCGTTTCCATTTTTATCATCGTTTAAATTTCCATCATCGTTTACATTTTTATCATCATTTACATTTCCTTTTTCATTTCCATTTTCATTGGGTGGTGGTGGTGAAGAAGATCGGGAGCGAGTTCTTGACCGAGAATTGTTGTTATCTTTTCCATTATCAGAAGGTGATCTAGACCTTGAATCTGAATGACGATGGCGTGGAGATCGAGAAGGGGAATGGTGACGCCTTGAATGTCTAGGGTGAGGAGATCGTGAACGACGACGATAATCTCGATCATAATTATGATCAGAATCGTTATTCTACAAACGTTTACATTATAAATTTGGGTTGTAAACTAACGTTATTAAAAAAAGAACAACTATGATAACAAAAGAAAATATTTTTATTCACCGATGCTTCATGAAGAATGATGCGTTTTCCTTTTAGTTCTACATTGTCGAGTTTCCTAATAGCATTTTTCATGTCATCATAAGAAGAAAATTCAACAACACTATTATAGGAAAATATTAAAAAAACATTAATTAAAATATGGATTAAAAATAAATAATAAATAAATAAAATAAATACCCTTCACCAATACGATCTTTATGACAATCTGCAAAAGTTACTTCGCCGGCTTTTCGCATTAGGTCCTTAAGATCCTTTTAAATGAATGGTAGAGTAGAGAGAGGTGGAAGTTGAGAATATGGTAAATGGACGATGTTCTTCATAGATGTTAAGATCCCCTAAGACTCTTGTATTAATTATTCCATATAAGAACCAAAATGGAAGGAACAAGAGATGGTGGATCCATAGACAGCAGCAGCAGCAGTGATGATAGTAGTAGTAGTATCAGCAGTAGTAGTAGAAAATAGAAAATGCAAATGGCAACCCAAATCATAGATCGAAATTTAACCATATTTTCGGTAGGAAATATAAAGAATCCTTATTTTTAAATTACTGTGACCCTCAATCTCCTTATTTCCTGACATATAATATTATGTGGTTAAATTTGCATTATACAATAATAATGATTATGATTATAATTATGATGATGATGATTGATTGATTGATTGATTATTTTTTTTTTGAAGGAATATTTATGGAAAAGATATGATAAATAAACCCACAAATAGACATTCTCAAAGAAAAGACCAAAACATCAAGTCAAATTAACCAACCAACCAACGAGAGCATAATAGGGGATAAGAGAGATATATAACCAAATCCAATATCAATCTTGTAGAAAAACCAATAATTATACAAGTGCTGTAGGTACATATATGCACATATATGTATATATGTTTTGAATTTTGGAAAATGTTTGCATACCTGCCAGCTACAACTTGAAGACAAGTTTTCCACAATCAATCTACATTGAGGATTTCTTTGAGGCGGTGCAAATCTATTGATAATACATATTTTTTTTTTGAAAATTAATTAATTGAATATAATAAATATATTAGTAGGTATTAAAAAAAATTTATTTAAACATAATAAACAAATGATTATAAAACTCTTTATGGCTTATACCTTCCACGATCTCTATCATCTCTGCGACGATCATCTCTATCTCTATCTCTATCTCTATCTCGGTCCCTACGATCATCTCTGTCTCTGTCCCTACGATCGTCTCTATCATGTCTTCTACGTTCTCCTCTAGCATATTCAACAATTAATCTATTATTTATTATTAAATTTGTAAAAAAAAAAAATTAATTTTTATCCTTATTAATTAAATGATAAAAATATGAATAAAATTAAAATCATTCCATACTTTTCACCCATAAAACTTTTACCATTAAAGGCGTAAACCACATCATCAGCATCACGATGGTCACGAAACTCTACAAAGCCAAACCCATTCATCAATTTTATTTCTCTAATACTACCATAACCACGAAAAAGTTTTTCAACATCACGTTCACGGGCGTCTCTAGAGAGACGACCAATATAAATCCTGGTTGCCATTTTTTTATGAAATGAATATAAATTATAGATGTGTAATATATAATCCGGGAAAAACACTTCCAAGCAGTTGGTTTTAATTGTATGATTTGATTGGTTGAAATTAATGTTGGGAGAATATCTGCTTATGTTGATATTGATGATAAAATTATTTATTATTCAGAAAATACACATTTCATTCTATTAACTGTTAAAATAATTTGAAAAAAGGTGGAGGTCATAGAAGACCTTTTGCATTTGGTAAATAATATGTTCATTTTAAAAATAATAATTTAAATTAAATAATTTAAATAACTACCAGGATCCATAAAAAATCATACACCTCTACTGCAGTCTGTTTAATATGCAGGTTAGTAATTTGAGAAGTCTTGATAAATGAACACTTTTATTTATTTATTTATTTATTTTTTATTATAAAAGCTAAAAGGTGCATTTATAACGTTAATTATATAACTCTTCAACTTTGGTTGGCTATCTCATAGTTCTAAATAATGTAAAAGATTACTGGACCAAGAGAAGGTATGAATAATGGTTGTGGGTTGATTATAATGGTATTTGATATATATTAGTTATGGTGAATATGTTAACAAATTTAATATTTTATAATATACTTAATATTTAATATTCATTATTAGATAAGAATTGTGTAATAGTTTAATATATCATAGGTAATGAGTAAATAATACATGTATCAAACGAGAAATTGCTTTCATATAATTTTATGGATGGGACATGCTTTTTTCTCAAATTTAACCATTTTGATATGTAATATTTGTTACCATAGGTGTACTTTATTACATATTTTTTCATTGAAACTATAGCAAGAGTTTTTATGCTAATATTTTATAGAATAATTCATTACCAATCATTAATAAAAAATGTTGCTAAGGACCTTCTTTTTTTATTGTCTTGAAAGTATATTAAAAGCAATCTAAAATTATCCAATCAATTTCTTTATAGATCAACCAATCACGCCATGTTTAAATTTCTTTATTATTAATAATCCGAGTCCCGTGCAACTTTTTTACGCGTAACTTGTTTTGCTTTTAGTTCAATGCCCATTAAACTAGACTTGTCAGTTAAGTCATATTTTGAGAGTACACCCATTATTATGGTCATATTTGGGTTTTCTAAAGACATTAAAATCTTATTGCATCTTGGAAGAACATTCGATGAACGATCCAAAATCCACTTGGAGGAAGCGATATATAGGGCGTCCTCAGAAATTAAAATCTGATTAGATTAAGATTAGGGTTGTGTTGGTCCGGTCTCGGTTCCAAAATACCGGTTTTTAGATGCAGTCTTTAGGACTGGTTAAAGATTGTTTAAAGGATTTTGATGTGAATCACATATTGCAAGTAGCCTTTTGGTCAATTTATTTTATTTTACAAATTTGTCCTGCTTACTACCTAGAAGTCATATGTAAAGAATAATTATAAAAGAACAAACAAATGAAATTTTGATTCTCAAATGCTTGCTATTGTAAGCCATATATTGATAGTTGGTATAATTATTATATTGCTATTTGATTTTAACAAGAATAGATACAGAGAAAATATATCCTTAATAAAATTACAAATCAAATTGTTCATAAATACTAGGAATACAAACAATCAATTTAAACTAACATCAAATTTGCCAATACAATTTAAGGTTGGATTGGAAAATCTTCCAACATGTTTAAGAGATTTCATTAACACATCTCAAAAAGTGGGAATTGATGTAGATAATTTATCTACTATTTCAATATTTAAGAAATTACATTTTCCAGATGGTACAATTGCACGCAGTGATAATTCATGTCTGTTCAAATTTGTTGATGCACTATCTTTTTGATTATCATATTATCAACCACTCTGAGCAGAATCAAATAGACCCAGTTAACAAAATCTTTACAGATGATGAGACAATTCTTGGAATTTAATGATGAATAAAAAAGAGACACAATTTTTACAATTGCATGGAATAGTCATCTTTATGTATCTTTTCATTTGAAATTGATAATCATGAAATTTAGAAAACCACATTTGACATTATAAAATCATCATTCATGTTATATTTATTAAATGAATTGTCTCTTTTTTGTTACTATTTGCTCACTTTTTATTTATTTATTAATTATTTTAGATGGACATTTTAGAAACATTTTAGAGTCAATTTTAGAGTCAATTTCATTTATATTTACATGAAAATAAATATTACGAATAGGTTATCATCATTAATTATATTATATATACAATTCACTCTTTCTAAGCAGGATCACCATATATATAACAAACATCTGTATAGTGAATAATGGCACAAATAATACATATAGCCAAATAAATATTTTTATTATTAATGAATGATTTGACTAAGAATCTGACATAGCTTTTTTTCTTGTTAATAATGAATGGTAGTAATTTGTTTCAGGAATTAACTCTGCTAATTCATTGATTAAACTCCTTACTTGTTCATCATCTATTGGCTTACAATACTTTTTATTATGATTAAAGGAAAAAATATTGTTATAATATATTTTATTATATAAATTCAATTGCTGCTATATAAATAAATAAACAAATACCTACCAATTCAAAGATCCAAAGTTGATAATTTAATGCAAAACATTTTTGTTTTGTTAATTGTTTAACAATTCCATTATCAAGTCCTTTTCCAACAGCAATAAATTCTTCATCATCATGATTTTTATTGCCTTCTAATAAATTGTTTGATAGCATGTTGTTGATCTTGTTAACACAATGATTTGAGAAATTTAATTCATTATCAAAAGTTGGAGAACAATTAATAACCTCAATGTCAGCATCATCTTCATTCATCTCATTTTCTTCTCCAAGAAATGTTGAAAAATAATTAATTTTGATTTTTTGGTAATGATTATCATCATCATCATTATTGTTGTTATTATTAATTAATTCTTGATGAAGGTAATGCCATAGAAATTTCAGAAATCTTAAATGATACCATAAACTTTCATATCCAAAATATCTTAGAATTAATCTTTTAATAAATTTAAATTCTTTCACCATTAATTTTCTAATAATAACATTGCTTTCTAAATTATTTCCTTTTTGATTTTCTTGATTTTTTTGCAATGATAATAATTCAAATAAATTCATTCTTGAAAATCCAAATAAATTATTTTTAATGGTGGAATTTTCATCACTATTACCATCACCTTCTTCCTTTTGATTGTTACAGTGTAAATTTTTAATAATTTTAATTAATAAATTTTGTAAATAATTTAATCCTGAATAATCTGATAAATTTAAATTTATCCAATTTTTAACATTTTTTAATTCTTGAGATAAAAATTCGTTATAAAATCTCAATCTTTCCTCCTCTTCCTTATCCTTATTATTGTTGAATAATGATGGTACTGCTGCCACAGTTGCCATAGATTCAAGTTGCTCAAGCATCCAATACCTATGTAGCCAGGAAAAATAATTTTTTGGATATAAATTTAAAACATGTTGAATTATTTTAATTTCATGAGTTAAATTTTTTTTTGACAAAAAATATCCATTAGGTGATGAAAAAGATTGCAATGATTGAATTTGTAAAATTGTCCATTTCCTTTTCAATTGAAGAAGTAAAAAAAATCAATTAATTAATTAAAATTAAGAATATAAAAATGTAATCTTCTTCCTCTAACCTATGATGCCAAATAATAGAACCTTTTGTATGTTTAGGAAAAGTTAAGATTAGATCTATCAGCTTTAACTCATATTCAGGATCTATTAATTTATTCAAGATTAATTTTTTTCTAAACAATAAATAAAAATATAATAAATAAATATAATTTCTCATTTTTTTTTTTAATATTATAAAAAGAAAGTTTGTATAGCTACCTTGTATTAATAACAGTATAACACTCTGGATTAATTAATATCATGCATCTAGAAGACTCTTTTAATGTTTTAATGATTTCTTGATAATCACTTTCTTCTTCATTAACATTCCTATTGTTTTCAATATTTATTATGTTATGCTTATTTTTCATAAATTGCTCATGAGCATATTTAAATATGTTGGCTATGTGCTCTAATGGCAAACCAAGATTTTGTTCAAGTAATATGAATGGATAATGTTCTGAAGATAGATCTAAACTTTTATAAGGTAATAATGCCAATTCATTTCTAATTGTGTGAAATTTAATAATAATGAATAAATGAGTGAGAAATATTATTTTTTGACACAAAAAACAAAACAAATGAAAATATAATTTTTTTATTGTTTACATTTCATTTGAATCAAGTATTTTATTTAGGATATTATAAAGATATTTTCCATTCATATTCATCATATATGGGGCAGAATTTATCAAGCAAGCACCTTTGTAAATTTTTTGTGGGCGTGCAAATAAAAAAATTATCTATATATATTTTTTTTTTGCTTGTATTGAAAATTTTTTTTTACTTTGAGAGATTAGTAGTATTTTCTACAGCAGGTTTACTGACTCATAGACGAATCACCAATTAAAACATCATTTCCCATATTGACACCAATTCCTATGGATATTGAGCATCAAGAATATCTGTGAAAGGCAAGTTTAAAGATATTCCTTATTCAAAACCAGCACAAATAACTTGATGGTTGTAAATTTTAATTTGTTATTTTCCTTTATGCCTTATGACAAATTATTCCAAGAACAAAATATGTAAATGTCCAATTTCAGATTTAGCGGATGAACATATCCGTTAAGTCGAGATTCACTGTGTACATACATATAATCCAAACTAGATTTGTCGAGACAGAAAGTAGCCGGGCTTAAGGCCGAGAATACAAAACTAAAACAGATTATAAAAGGAAATGCTGAGCTTAAAACCAAAAATGCGGAACTAAAACGAGCTGTTGAGAAAATCAATCTCCCGTTTGTTCAGAATTCCAAATCAGAGGATCTTAGAAAGAAATCAAACCTGAGATTTCAATTGAGCAAGACATCTAATCAGAGTCTCAAATTTCTGTTGAACCAGAACAAGTGAGTACCTGAGTTTCACCATTGCCTATTCATTTCCTATTATCGAAAAAGAGCAAGTATTATATGATGATGATTTCATCAAAATCCGTGAATTTCTTGACTCAGGAACCATAAAAAATATTCATGATCGGAAAAAAAGCAGAAAGTGAAGCTTCAAACCAAGATCCATCCTTAGTTCATCGAAACACTTCTTTAACATCATCCAAGTCATCATGTGATATATCATGTAAGAATTTAATTCTGTGGTCGGAAGACTAAGTTAGCATATTTTACTGTGTGGGGAGGGAGGCTATATAAACTGGCTTCGATAAATTTACTCATAATCTTCCGAGAGATTATTCCCAAAGCTTCTAATATCTTTAGGTTCTTTTCTACGTTTCTTCCAATTTCAACATCAGGGTTACCATCAGCATATATTTTCAAATCGACTACATTTCTGATTTCTTTCGTCTTGCAAGCATGAATTTCTTTCACGTAAATAACTTGCTTTTTCACTTGTTATGTTTTAAAAAAAAGAAGTGGTAATCATAAGAATGATCCATTTACTGCGCATTCAGTAAAAGTTAAAAAATAGCAAAGCTTAACCAACAGATTATTGAGGAATTGCCAAGGATCCCTATAAAAACTCTTGCTTTGAAATACCGAGAATCTTCCAGTGAAAATTTATACTGAAAACATACATTTTCTGTATGATAAAACTGGAGAATTTTATTGTTTCGTGAGTTTTAACATATTTTGTTCTTGGAATAATTTGTCATAAGGCATACAGGAAAATAACAAATTAAA